GGCACCTGGGGTGGCGATCCCAGCGTCTACCACCTGGATCCCGTTGGGATCCGGGCTGGATCTCAAGGGGCCCGCTTTCCCCACGCTAGCGGAAGCGCAGGCCACGCCATCAGTTCCGGACTGGCCCCCCGACTCTTCCGGCGCCGCAGGGGGCCCGCGGCGCGCGAATGGCGCCACTGGTAGCGTGACCACCAGCTGCCGCCGGGCCTTGTTGAACTGCGCCTTGCCACGGCTGTCGTCCACCGGGTAGGGGAGCGAGAACCGCAGCCGGTAGTCGGGGTTCCTCGAGTCAAGACACAACAGCTTTCCCGTCACTTCCAGCGCCGCCTGTTCAGCCGAGCGCAGCAGCGGCAGCTCGATGGTGACCACCAGCTCGTGCGGCACCGAGCTCGGGGCCGAGTCCCGGGAGCACCGGTAATCCTGAAGGTCCACGTGGTGGCGCTGCACCACGCTGCAGCGGGGCTCGGTGGGGGCGGGCTGCTGAGTCTCCRGCGCAGGTTTGGGAACCTGGGGCCCCGGGCCGACGGAGCTCTGGGCTGTCGCTGGGTACCGGTAGGGATAGGGAAAATCTGAGAGAGGATCCTCCTTCCTGTTGGGTGGGGCCCGGACGCTCCCCGGAAGGGGCGTGCGCAGCACGGCAGCCTCTGGGGTCCCCTTATATTTAGTCTTCAGGGTCTTGGCGTTCCTGCGGTCCAGCTTGACGCCGAACTGCTTCTCGACTGCCTCCAGGGCYGTGGCGTCCAGCATCTGACAGAAGCGCTTGTTGCGCCGGGCCAGCGCCAGCGTTTCTGGGTGGAACACCACATCGTAAACCTTGTAGCGGGTGCCGCTGCGCCCCGCGTACTCTCTGCCAGGCGCCAAGCTGTACGGCAGGGACCAGTGGCTACCCATCGCCGCGCCACCGCCGTCCCCCGGGCCTGGCCGGCTGCTGGGCGCGCCCACCAGGTCGTTGCTGCATACATTCACGAAGCAGCGCAGAGCCCCGTCCAGGCTGGTACGCAGCACGTGGCCTGGCTCCGGGTGCACGAACCGCACCTCCACTCCGCGCTCACGCTCCAGTGCGGTGATCTCTTCCTCGTAGCGCCTCCGGTTTTCTGGGTCATTGAGCTCCTCSGCGTACTCGGAGAACATTCGCCGGAACTCCGGATCCTGGAAGGCGGAGGTGAGCCGCTGGACCTCCTCTCCGCTCAGGTCCAAATCCTCCAGCGCCGAGGAGGCTGCCGCTTTGGCCATGCTGCCCCGCAGCTCCTCGCCCTCACCCCAGGGGTGATCAGTCCAAGACTGGTTGGGCAGGGTGCCCCGCAGAGTCTCTGGTACGCGGAGAGCGAAAGGGCTGAGGTCGGTAACGGCCGCAGGATTGAGCCTTGAGCAGCGCGTGCTGGTTGCCACGGTAACCCCCACTGACACCCGGAAGGAGCAGCAGCAATCAGCTGGAGGTGCCAGAAACGGCCTCATTATTTCTTCAAAACAAGCAACTACTTGCCGTTTTTTAGATGCTTATGCCAAGATGCATTTACTTCTGCTGTCTATGGTAAAATTGTCATAATTGCCAGTATTGTGTACAAGATCTCATTCATTGTTGACTTTTAAGTTAAAATTTTCACAAACGAGAGACATGAGAAGTTACCTGATCAAGGTTGCACAGCCAGTGTGTTCACAAGCTGTGATTTTTAACCTGACTTACATGTGTTTTTTCACTTTACTAAAACATTTCAATCTTAGTTTTCCTCCTTTTTATCTTCTGGATAATCTGCCATACAGTTTACCCAGTAAAAGCTCATTTAGAGCAAAAGATAAGGGCAGGGTATTCATAAACAAATATGCCAATGAATGTAAAATGTAAAGCTGTAGTTCAGTGGTAGAGCACTGGCCTAGGTTCTCACCCACTTTTATTTAAAAGTAAATAAAATAAAGATATTATGCCCATTTTTGGTAACAGGAATTGAACTCAGGGGCACTTGATCACTGAGTCACATCCCCAGCCCTAGCCCTTTGTTATTTGTTCTTTGAGACAGCGTCTTGCTAAAKTGCTAGGGCTGGCTTTGAACTCTTGATCCTCCTGCCTCAGCCTTCCAAGCCGCTTGGATTACAGGCGTGGGTGTCATCGCAACCGGCTACAACTAAAGAAAATTTTTAAAATAATGCAAAATTTAAGATGCYATGTGTCACCTATCAAAATGGCAAAGCTTTCATGATTATTGTTCTCCTCAGGGTGGGAGTAGAATTTTAAGTGTGCTTTTTTTTTTTTTTTAAGCCCATATACCCATGGAATAATTGACCCAATACTTATTAAAATAGTATGATTCTAAAAGTTTGGGAAGATGGGCTGGGGATGTGGCTCAAGCGGTAGCGCGCTCGTCTGGCATGCGTGCGGCCCGGGTTCGATCCTCAGCACCACATACCAACAAAGATGTTGTGTCCGCCGAAAACTAAAAAATAAATATTAAAAATTCTCTCTCTCTCTCTCTCTCCTCTCTCACTCTCTCTTTAAAAAAAAAAATAAAAAATAAATAAAAGTTTGGGAAGAATCTAATAGTTCAACAAATAACTGATGAAACAGATTTTGGCAGAGACATATAAGGGAGTTTATGTGGCCATTGTAAAGTATCTTGTAGAAATCCCTCCTCCCTCTTAGGTGCTGGAGATTGAACCAAGGGTCTCATCCCTATAGCATAGGATCTACCACTGAGCTACATACACTTCCAGCCTCAAAGTGTATTTATTGACGGGTAGTTATTTATTCATTGGTAGCTGGCCTATCATTTTTCTATTCTCGGCAACATTTAACACAACAGATGTTGGCATTACCCCAGTGATAAGACCCTTTCTAGATTTTTCTCCTACCTTATATGCTTTCATAGTCTGTTTTGCAAGTTTATTCTGTTCAGTTTCTAAGTAGAGATGCCCCAGGCTGGGACCCTATTTTTTCTCCACCTATACTTGCTCCACAAATATATGTATGCTTACAAATACCAAACTTATATTTCTGGTTCTAACTCTATAGACTCCTTTTATCCAGCTGCTCAAATTTGAGTTCTCCATTTGAACAAGTAATCCTTAGGTCTCTCAGGTTTGAAATGACCAAAAATAGAATTCCTAACTCCTTTYCTTTCCCAAACCTAGGCCTTGATCTCTCAGCAGCATTCAAAGCAGCTTACTATTCCCGTTTGGAACACATTTTTCTCTTGGTGTATAGAACTCCAAGCTCTCTATTTTCCTTCACTTGTCCCTCTTCTGCCAGTTCTCTAAATGTGCTTGTTTATCAGTCCTCTTATCTAGTCACATATCTTCCAAGATGATCTTATTGAGGCTCATGCTTTTAAATGGCATCTATGTTCAGATTAGTTCTTTGAACAGGTTATTTATGCAGTTATTGCACCTACTACATAGGAAAGTAAGTCACTGTTCTAGGCACTGGCACAAAAAAATCATTGTGCTGCAAGGATGTCATGCAACTAATAATCTTGGATGAGTATCACTAACATAATATATTGAAACAATGTAAAATAATACAGATGGCTTGACTCCATTATCTATTAGACAAAATTTGGCTAAACAAATCTCATTGTTAGAAGTCAGGCTACATAACTATGTCAATCAATAACATTAACAGAAAAAAATTTAAAAAGATCTAGTGAGTTCCCTTTTGAGGGGGATGGAGTGTTGTCACAAGAAGGAAAAAGGGGGAATTTCTGGGGTAGGACTGTATCAATCTTGTTATATTGTTAAATTGGCTGTGCAGTTTGTTAAAACTCATTGAGGTGTCCAATGATAATAGGGGACTTTGTGTATCTCATATATTAATTTAAAAGTTTAACAAAKTGTTTATAAAAACAAAAATATTTGCCCTCATGGAACTTCAGTGACACCGACACATCTTCAGTCCTATCTGACCACTGATCCCTAAGAGATTTTTCTACCTGGATGTTCAGTAGGCATCTCAAATTAACATGAGCAGAACAAAACTTGATTTTCTCCTCTCAAACCTGTTATTCTCCCAGTCTCAGCAACTAATATTATCCTAGCTATTTAACACCAAAACCTAAGTAATCCTTGATTCTTCTTTAACCTCATCCTGTACTGCCATTCAGTTACAGTTGCCCACATTTTTTTAATCTTCACCATGGTTTTGTAGTTGGTGTTTTCTTCTAGGGTCTGGCTCTATTTATTTGAAGGTAAGCAAGATGAAATCTAGGACTTTGCCTTTCCGGTATTCCACTGGATTCTCTAGGACCTAGAACATGTTAGGTACTCATTTAATGAATAAATACAGCACAGTGAAGAAAAAAGCAAGTTTATTATATAGACAGTGATTCCCAAAATATCTCTGCAGGGAAAAAAAAATGCACAGAAAAAAAAAAAAAAACACATTAAGAAATTTGACAAGGAAGAGAGCCAGCGAAATGAGACTCCGATGAGAATTATGGACCCAACACATACACACAAGCCTGTCCCCACACATAATTTCACATAAAACTTTGAAGGAGCCAGAAACTCAAGGCTGTTATATCCAACAACCAGTTTGTAACTTGATGCATTTAAATAGTATGTTGTATTTATGTTTTAAAATACCTTTACTAAGGTCAGACTTGTCCAGAATTTTGATGTTTCAAAGGTGATTTAATTTAATTTGATTTACACTAAGTAATTCTTGGGTATGCTCACTGGTATCAAGGTAATAACAAAAGAGTGGGGAAAAAAAAATAGTGACTAATACCAAAATTAACTTCAGATGTTTTTTGTTTTGGTAAATTAAAAGTGCCTTTATTCCACTGATAAGCTAACGTTAGTTTTAGTTTTAGTTTTTAAATGCATGCTTAATTAGAAGGGCCTTTTTTTTTGTACCAGGGATTGAACCCAGGGGTGCTTTACCATGGAACCACATCCTCACCTGCCCTTTTTTTTGAGACAGGGTCTTCTGGCTAATTGCTTAGGGCCTCCCTAAGTTGCTGGGGCTGGCTTTAAATTTGAGTTCCTGGCTTTGAACTTGCCTCAAGCTCTCAAGTTGCTGGGATTACAGGTATGCACCAGCTCAACCAGCTAGAATATATCTTTATACATATCTACATTTTGTTGTTTTGCAGTGCAGGGGATCAAACCCAGGGCCTCTTAAATCAGCATATTTTTTTTTAAAGAATGCTGGAAGTGTTTTTCCTATAAAAATTTTCAAATGTACCACTGTATTTGGTATAACAATATCAAAATTTCATAAAATACAAATTCAAGAATATTTTTAAAGTTTACCATAATTTAATAATAATATCAAAATCACTTAATACATAAAACCAAGCAGAAAACTGATGCTTTTTTTTTCATATGGTCTTTAAGACTCTCARAAGCCTTGAAGTTTGCTGAAAATAGAAAAAAAAAAATGAAATTAAACATTTTAGAAATCTGTTCTTGTACATTTCTTAATTTTTAGTTATAGCTAATTAGTTTTCAAAATAGATCAACATTGTTCCAAATTCAGAAGGCAACACTAAAAAAATTTCTGTTTTAAACCCTATCTCTGTTCCTCAGAAGCAAATGTACAGCTGGGTGTGATGGTGCTTGCCCGTAATCCCAGCAGCTGGAGAGGCTAGAGCAGGAGGATCACAAGTTCAAAGCCAGCCTAAGCAAAAGCAAGGCACTAAGCAACTCAGTGAGACCCTGACTCTAAATAAAATACAAAATAGGGCTGGGAATGTAGCTCAGTGGTCAAGTGCCCCTGAGTTCAATCCCCAGTACCAA